CTTTTTTCTTGTATCATAAAGCAGTGGCTGGGCACTGCTGTAAAAGCGAACGTCTCTCCTCTTGAATAAAGTAAAAAATGTACCATGTGAAAAAAAAAACAAACAAACAATTTACTGCACATTAAACTCCCTTTTGTTATGTGCAATATTTAGGAAACCTTGGCTCAGAGGAAGTGTACTGAAAGCTCCCTCTGTTTACACAATGCTAAATCTCTGTGTTTTCCGTCTCAGTCCCACCAGCAGTTTCAATAGGCAAAGGCTCACAGTCAGGTACAGAAGTTAAAAAAAGTGAGACCTCAGGAGTGACCAATATGTTCAAAAAAAAACACTGTAGCTGCAAAAAACCCAGTTTCAGTTATGGTCAGAAAGAGGTTGACAGAGATTTATTTGTGTTGTCAGAAGACAGGGAGCCAGAGAGGAGGGTAGAAAGAAGTTGGAAAAGAATTCAAATTCTCAAGGAAAGGTAAGAGCCAAGAGGATGGAAGACAACATCCTCTACAAAGACAGCAGAAAAGATCATCTAAAGTACTTTTCATGCTGTTGAAATGGATTTTTTTCCAGTTCTATCAAAACAAACAAACGTAATTGGGTGTGACTAATTACATGTTACTTTAACAAATATGCTTCAATTCACTCTAGTTCTCATCCCAACATCTGCAAAGCCACTGAAGTTTGGGAATATTTGCTACTTAAAATTCTACATTGGGTGCTAAATTAATGAAATGAAGATATTTTATAAATTCTTGCAGCTATTAGAGAAATTTAATTACTGAAAAATATTACTGAAACTGAGAGAATGTGCTGTACAAACGCTGGGGCACCAGGGAAATTAAATCATTTTGCTGAGTGTACATAACGTATCACTTTGCTGCTTCCAAATTGCCCCAGAGCAATCAGTGAAATGACTGATTTTTCAACGAACAATGAATTTAAGGAGACCTATTGGGTCCTCTAGTGACGTCCCTTGTTGATACAGGTAAACATATCAATAGTATTTTCACATACATACCAAATTCTCACTTAAAATCAGTTAGATTCCACTGTAGGAAAGATATTTCAGAACGTCTGTACTCAGAGTATTAGAATGCCAATAAAACTGTATTTGTAGTTACTTACCTTCTATTTTCTTGAGACCAATATTAATTAACATAAATTAGTCTTCTCCCTCTCTCATGTTTAGCCCATGCAGTTTTAGAAATTTACTCAACTGATTAAATCATAGGTTAATTAAATTAAATCTAATTAAAACTTAAAGGTTTTCTGTTCCTTCAAATTGTTGAGTAGTCTTTTTTTGAACAATGAATTAATCTGTTTTGGTTCCTTCTTTATTTTGTTTGGAGAATCTGAACTCCAAAATACAATTTGCTAGTGCCTCGTATGAGTGTCAAGACTTAACACCTTGACAGGATATCTACTGTCAGATTGACTCAGAAATACCCTCTTTTTTCCACCCCCCATCACAGCAGAACTTATAGAGAGACAGCAAATTCAGAATCACCATCTGATCCACCAATGCCTGCAAATTTTTGAACAACTTTGTATTTTGTATCTGGTAACTCTTCTGTTTTAATTATTAATTTCTCAGTGGAGGTTTTTTCATTTTACAGTACAAAATTTCATCCTATTTCTCTAATTACTGTCTTTAAGGCATCTAATCAACAAAATTAACAGACTCTGCAAAAATACTGATTTTTAAAGTCCATGACAGCTTTAATGGGTGTGTGCAAATTAAGATCTAAGGGAAATCTGTCTGATCTGTCAGCCTTTGCTGTGCAATCCTGTGCAATGTGCTCTGGGTTGGCCCCACTCGAGCAGGGAGGTTGGACCAGATGATCCCACTGTGGTGCCTTCCAAACTGACCCATTCTGTGACTCTGTAATTCCCCCTGACTGTTTCATATCTTTAGCAAATGCCATTAATATCCTTCTTTTCTTTAACAGTTACTGTAACTAAAGAAAAAAAAAATCCAGGATTGTAGTAAACCTTCCTTCTAGCACAGTAGTTCCTATTTCAATGCAATATAAACATCTTCCCTTCAGCCTGTTTCTTGCTTGCTTTGCTACTCATGTAATAATCCTCATGATCTCTAGTTTCACTAACAATTTTCTGTGACCTTCTATTAGGTGTATGCTGAATGGTTAGATCTGCTGTATTTCTCTTGATTAGCAAATATACACTGTTCAAACGGTGAGGTATCAGACTAGCCAGGAATTAAGTGGCATTACTGCTTTTCAGCTCATTTGCTTCCATATCTTTTCTTATTTTTTCTTTGCAGTCTGCTGATTGCTGACCCCTGATTTCAAAGCCTTAGCAAAGAATGTGTCAAGAAAGATGCAGTCCCTGGGTTAATGAAAGGTTAATTCACAGTTACAGGGAATGTAAGCATCCTCTTGGGATAAGAGACATAAGAAACTTCCCTTGATAAGGCATCTTCAAATAATGATTTTAATTTTTAATAATAATAATTTTTAATAATAATTTTTAATACCTTTTACAGAGTTTTTTTAACAGAAATTAATATAATACTATACACTAGAAAGTAGATCCACACCATCCTTCAGATTTGAACATACTGTTTCTGGAGGCAGCTGAATTCCACACTAAATACACGTGTAGCGGTAGATTTCCTAAAAAGCTTATTTTATACTGCAATGAGCAAGAACTCATGATGTAAGCAATAACACACCTATGGATGCTCAAAAACAAGATGTACTTTTTTTTTTTGCCTGGTGTCCGCTTGCATGACATAGTCGTAAATTCCTGACTCGTTAATTCTAGGTCATCATACATTGCATAACTTGTGTTTTTAAGTGTTTTGCTTAACTACCTCTCATTCTTCATCATTAATCATATGAGAAGATTTAATAAAAGCTGTGAAAAATCCAAAGGTCATTTAAGGTCTATAATTTTATTGTGGTATGGGACCTTTCAAAGGAATCAAAGAAGCAAGGTCCAGTGAATCACAGTGAGACTAAGGTAGTGAGTCTAACCCACCTGCTTTGGAAATCCCATCTTTGACAAGATCAGTGCAGTTAAGAAGTCTTTTTGACAGATCAGTGGGAAGGCCTGTACCACATATCCTTGGGGCTCACTGCTCCACAGGGAGAGTATGTGACTGACTCCACTATTACCCTTTCCTGAGGGCGCAATCAGCCTCTGTGCATTAAAGATACAGACTACAGGATGCTGTGGTCAGTCTCAGAAGAGCTGGTTGACATTTTCTTTGAAATTCTTGGTGCACAGATCCCGGGCTTTTAAGGACTTAATATAAAAAGATCTGGCTTAATTTAAAGCTAAAAAATATCTACTCGCCTTTCATTATACGGTTGCAGGATGTACCAATTAGCAGTAATGGACAATCATATTCTGAAATTCTTCAATAATTTGTTTTAGGTAGTATATATCTGTACCTCCACAGTCTTACTCACACATTTATAGAACCTATTGTCTGTAAGTCTGCAATAATAAATTAACTTAATAAAAAAGGCAATAAGTAGCTGTCTTGTTTATGATGTGATTATCAGGAAGGACATATTTTATATAAATAGCATTGCTGGGAATATTTCTGTACTAATGGAAGATGTTTCATAATTTAATTTTCATTTCATAATTTAATTCTTCCCCATCCAACATCCTTAAAACTACTATAGATAACTTTGTATGTTATGTAACACTTTCATACTGAAAAATATCAAAGAAACATATCACTTCTTTTTCTAAAGTGTTTTATTTAAGGAAAAAATAGAAGTTCTGAAAATTTAACTTTCTAACTAATTTTATTTTCTTTTCAATAGCAGGGATTTATTAATATGTTCTTTCCTATGATATTTTAGTATGCTTAAGATATTTATAGATAAACTAAGTAGGTAATTTTTAAAACAGTAACACTTAGACACATTAACTGTATGCCAAATAATACACAGTTGAAACTTATACATGAGGAAAAAACAATAACCAAAATTTTGCCAAATGTCCTAAGACAATGTAGAAAATATTTTGTACATTGTGCAAAAAAATTATTATTGAAATTTATGTTTGTTTTGGCAGATTAAAAGTGTATATATGCATTTGGTAATACTTTGTGGACTAACTAAGATCAAAATTCAGACTCAGAAAGCATGTATATTTGTTCTCCCTTCATGAAACTGTTGAGACTGAAAAATTATATACTAATAGGTAAGACACATGGCTACTAAGGACAGAATAAAAATTCAAAGTAGAAGACAAGAAATGGGAGATAAAGTAGTTCTGGTCGGTAATTTCAGACCTGGTTTTTGGTATGGATTTACTGGCTCCAGTGACAAAATGAAGGGCAACCTCATAGAGTAAGAGCAGCCTTGAATCCTTCATGCACATCATCAAATAATTGCTTGTTAAATTCTCATCTGTAACTTCAAAAGAAACCCAAGTGCAAAATGCTATCTACAGACTAGTTTAGACTATAATGTTTTTATTAGTCATTATGATATCTGAGGAAGACAAACCCCAGTTGCATTTTTAGATTTGGTATCCAGATAGATTTCTGGCCAGGCAGAGTTCTTCTGTAACCTGGAGATTTGATCCCAAAATATATGAAATTTCATTACACTAAAGTGTTTCTTTTTCAGAAAGAACTGCATTTTAAACTCTGCATCACTATAAGTTGTTCTTTATAAATTATATTATATGATATTTTATTCGGCATTCAATCTCCTCAATGTTCTCCCACAGACTTTTTTCATAGATTATTGCATAAATGAAGCACATTTACTGAGTAGGCCTAAACATTATAAACTTGGATTCTTTTTCATCTTTCTTTGGAATGTGGTAGGTGTAAGGTCAAGCCAGGAGGAGTCTACACTAGAATTTTAGTTCAGATCAACTGTGGCTGCTTTTGAATTTCTGCTCCTGGTCATCCCCATTTTCTGCACTTTAGTTCCCATCCCAGAGTTTTGGAGTGCATGACCTGGCTTCTTTTCAGGTGAACCCACAATCTCATGAGATGATCTCATTCTTTTCAGATGAAACGGAACTGGAAGATGGTCACCAAATGTTGGTGGACCACAGGTTGAGAGTGCCATAAGTCAAGGCCTCGGGACCAGGTTGGAGCCCTCCTTTTGGCACTTCTCCGCCAAAATCATGTGTGGTGTGTTCACTGCAACCTCAGTACCGATGGTTTCATCTCTAAGATCTGCTCCTTTTGAGTCATGGTAATTTATAATGTGGATATAACCTCTTTTGTGAATGTAACCTTTATATTGAAGTTATTGTAGTTCATGTGCTGGCCGGTTACAGACTGGCTTATAGTACAAAGGAGGGGACTGTGATAACCACTTGTAATAGATTTTGTTATAGCAGTTCATTTTATCTTAAATGTTTCCATTTCCATCTCAGTCACTCTGAAGAATGTTACAGATTTGATTTATTTTATATATATATACTTATCATTGGTTGTCTTCTCAGAATCTTGAAAAATACTTTTCTCTACTTCTGTCTCTAAAAAATCAGTTTTCTTTTTTCATCTGCTGGAAGTAGGGTGAACAATGATTTTCTTTTTATTTCTTCTTTTTATTGTACCAGTGTCATCATTCATGATTTTGTTAGTTGATCTTCACTTTCTCTTCTGAGTCTGGGATTAAAATTTACAAGATATTTTGACATTTGCAAGACTCAAATTGAGTCTAAGAGACTAAGCTCAGAATTCCTGCTTTGATATAACTTATTCTCATCTAAGAATAACAGTCATTTGGGAAAAATTACACATTGAACTGCTTCAGGTTTCAATTTTGTTTTCCTTGGAACATAAATCAGGGTGTTTCAATTGCCCTATTTTCAGTATATTTGAGTAACATTGAATATTTGAGATTGATAATGCATATTATACACAGGATTAATGATAACTTGTCATGTAAGATTAGGGTTGGTATAGAAACGTGACAAGTTTGTTGCTCTTTTGAAGCAAGAACTTTATTCAAAGGAAACAGTTCTCACTATAGCAGAGTCAGAACAGAGGAAAAACACCAGCACTGCCTGCAGCCAAGGCACAAGATTGAAAGGTGCAGTACCCCATTTATTCTAAAATAGTCAGTGAACTCCAAACCAAAAATCTCATTCCAGACTCTCAGACTGTCTCCTTTCCTATCAAGCTACCTAGTAACAATAAAGGAGAGAGAAATAAAAGATAAAGAGTGGACATGAGTTTAAAGTACTGTTCCTATTAGCCTGAATTCTTACAGATGTTTAGGATTGTGAAATGCAATATTTCTTTTAATGTCAGGTGTAATACAAATGGATTTTATATAAAAAGTAGAGATGTAGGATAGAAGTGGGGGGAGCATGGCACCAAAAATCTCACACTGCCTTACTACAACAGAAAAATTGCTTATTCCCTATGGTTACCATATAATCACTGATGCCTAAAGGAGCTGAGGAAAAAAAACTCCATGGCAATTTAATTAGAGGTAAGATAAGAAAAGGATTTAATCGTGCCTTTCAGGCACAGAGGTTACAAGACACGTGCGTGCCTTCTCTGTCTTAGGTGTTACAATTTATAATACTATCTGTCCAATCCCAGGTTTTTCTACCCCCTGGCTTTTGCCCTGATCCACCCCCAGCTCGCCCCTTGGCAATTGGGTCTGGGGTCGTTTTCTTCATCATCTTCATCTTCCTTGGAGCACAAAGGGCACAGGTTCACCCAGTTCTTGGCTGCATCTTGAAATTCAGGTTAGAGTACAAGTGTTCTTAAACAGAAGAGGCCTATCTTGAAGAGAAGTCTAAATATTCTAATGGAATTCAGGGGGTAATTGATATGGGGAGCATGGAATGGGGTAAAAGGGTTGGGATATGTGTGTAGTTACTGTGCTAAGGGTAAGAGAATAAAATGCTGCTTCTTCTAAAACCTATATTTACTACGTAACTACTTTTTAAAACTTATAAAATTAGAAAAATCAAAAAACCAAAAGGACCTTAAGGCATCATCACTGAAAAATTGGAATACTGGTATTCATCCACTATCCTAGCATTTGCAGAGGATTAATATAGCACTTTTGTGACAAATGTATCTTCAAACAAAATAACGTCCTGGCCTCAAAATGCATTGTAAGACTTCAAATCCTTGTGAAAGTTTTCTCCTAATAGTTCAAAACAAAGGAGCAAAACAATTATCCTTCAGGAGGAAATAAGTGCTGACAGAGACACCCTGTCAGGATAAGACCACACAACAGACACTGCTCTGACTGATGTCTGCTCAGATTTAGATGAGCAAGCATTGCACTGATGTGGGTATTGTCTGCAGTGTTTTCATAGCAGTGTGGAGTTCAGTGTAGTCAAGAAAAACTAAGTGGAGCTTCTGCATAATCCATACCAAGCTCTCTGCTACCACAGTTAGCTGTTATCTGTAAGAATCAACAAATCTAAAGCTATGTATATGTACGTGATGAAAGATCAGAGCCTGTTACCAAAACAGAAGTATGCAAATTTTGCACTTAGTAATCATGAGGAAAAATGCCCTGAAAACTGCAGATAGAAAAAGGAGATATTCAGAGTTTTATTCTGTTTGCCACAATGCCAAAGCATTATTAATTGCAACAACTAACTGAAGTTTGTGAATATTTGCATTTATAAAGGTTTTTTAAAGTAATTATGGAAGTTAACATAAGCTTGAGCAACTTCTTTTTGTGAATAACAGGCTCATTTAGTTATTTTTGTTACACTTACAATCTCTGACCATATTTCTTCTACATTCTTTTACAGAAAATAATTTCTACAATGCAATTTGCATCAAGGATTTAGCATAACGTTAAAATAATAACATTTTGTTGTAATAACCCTTCATCAATCACTATTTATCTATGTTGTCATTGCCAGTCTGCTCCCTAAAATTTGAAGTTCATCTATGAATACAAACCTTAAAAAGCAGACGTGAATGATCTATTCTAAGACTTTCCACTGAGCAGATAAAATTTGCTCAGATACAAGGGAAAAGCAGGCATGTTATTTGTTATTTAAAAGATTAAGAATTTTCTGAGTGATGCATTAAAGGCGATACTCTCAAGTACAAAAAAAACCCCAAACAAACAATGCTTCCTATCCCTCTAAAAAAAAAAACACCAAACACAACCAAAAACAACAAGAAGAAAAGAGAAGGAAAAAAATAATAATAAAAAGAAAATCTTAACACACACATCCCCCCCAAAAATCCCCCCCCCAAAAAACCCCAACTCATAATGTCTTCTCAATCATTCTTTCAAATTGGAATAACAGCGAATAGTACCAAAGTATCATAAAGTTTCTTATGATTTCATAATTCAGCACGTACTTTTAGTGTCATATTTCAGGGTTGATGTCCTTTTTCTCCTATCAGATACCACTTGAGAATGTAGATAAATTACTCAAACATGGCTCAAAGAGTTCTGTTTCTGCTGCTCCTCTGAGAACATTTGGTTGATTTTTGTTGTTCTACTTGGGTTTTGTTTGTCTGTTTAATACTAGTGAAAAAAAAAAAAACACAACAGGAAACTGCAATGTTGATAGGGAAAAAGTATATTCTGCCTGCTGTGTTCCCTTAATACAACATCAATACCTCAGGCAGAGCAGCCTCTTGCCTGCTGGCTCTGGTCAGAAGCAGAGTATGGACTGGGACATTTTGGGGGAATACAGGGGTAATCAGTTATTTTTTTAATACAGCCAGTGAATCACCTTTTTTTTCACTTGTCAGTACTGCCAGTCATGAACAGGGGTCAGCTTTTAACTTTCTCTTAGCTGACATTGTGTTAATATGTGTTCTTATCTGACGATGGCATTTGTCATCGTGAAACAGTTTTCTATTTAACCATTTTTTCAGACTCTCAAATATAGCTCAAAGCATATTTCCTTGAAAAACTTTTAAATGAAAAGGGCTCCTCTAACAGATTGCTTTGTAAAATATTGAAATGTGTTAAATTCAAAACTTTATGGTGTCTCAATAATTTTACATTGCTTCTTGCGAAATGTTAAGATTATGCATTGCTACTTTTACTGGTGAAATGGATGCTTAGGAATATGATTTTACTAGTTTATTTTGACTTTGAAATCATGATGGGGAAATAATAAATGCCATCTTTTTAAAAAGAAAGATGATGCAAAATGAAAATTTTGATAATTTCAAACGGGTACTCAGTGACAAATGTCTTTGGAAAGCCCTTTTTCAGGGAGGACAAAAGTATTTGATATGATAATTTTGATGGATTTAATCAAAATATGATCTCATCAAAATTTAACCCCTTTTTTATTCTCATTTTTAAATTCAGTATCCTTGGTGCTTATACCCATCAGAATATACTTTAACTAGATCTCAACTGAGTGGCTATAGAAAGTTTGTCTACCAACTCTGTCTTGATTCATTTATGGGTAAGAAAGAAGGTGTCTTTTCAGTCAAAAACAGAAACCTTCCCCCTTGCATAAACAAGATTGGACTCTTAGAGGGATGTAGAAGCATTAGCTAAGTAGGTTTTTTATTTAATTTAATTTTTAAATGTCCTTGTATCTCTGAATGATATTTGAAATACAATGGGGAAAAAAGTAGTAAATGATCAAGGAATCTCTTGCTGTGGTGTTTCTAATCTGGGTGCAGCCAAGGTGAACTGCGCATCACATGAAAACTCTCATATACTGTAGTCTGATGATAATGCTGAAAACTGAAGTGTTGAACAGACTGTTTTGGACAATTTAATCTGAACAAAACCTCCAAAGATTTTATGGGTTCCTCATAGCAGTTTACATCATATGGGTTTAAAAATAAAAAGCCAAAACAACATGCTTTGAGGGATATCAATAAAGTCATGCTGTCAAGAATTTATAGTTTCTCCTGTATGGCCACAATTTTATCACAGAAAATGTATAGTGCCATTTGTAATAGATGGGACTTTATTAGATGAAAAATTGACCCTTTCAGAGGAAGCTAGTGTCCTTCACTGGTTTTATAATACAAACATAAGTCTTGGAAATAATATTTGGACCAGCAGTGCATGATAGGAAAAGGGGCAGTGAGAGCCCTGGAGAGATGCAAGCTACTGGAAGTAAATGCAAGTGGAAAATTTAAACGTTTTTAAGAATGTCTCCATGAAAAGCATTTTCTTTCTCAGTAAAAGACTGCGTTATCTCTTGGCCAAATTATTAAAAGTAGGATAATTTCTTCGCTATAATGTTCTCATATCTGACCTATTAAAAAAAA